TTGCGAGGGGGGTGGTTTAATGGCATGCATGTGTACTCGTACAGTATGGGGGGGGGAGTTGTTCTGGGGACAAGAGTCTTTGTCTCTAGTCGTCATCGTCTTTTGCTCCATCTGGCGGGGAGGAGAAAAGAAACGGAAAACAGAAAACAGAAAACAGGGCTGCGGCCGTGGTTCATGCCGGGGGCTGTGTGTGTGTTACATGATGACAGGAATCCCCAAGACAGACATGAGATGGAATGAGCAAATGCAGGTCCATGTGCGCCGTAGGGCGATGGGAACCAAGGCCCGGAAGGACGCCCGTCTTGCTCTTCCATGCATGACTGCGTTGAAGGAGTCTGACGGTCTGACGTGCTCACTGGCTGAGCAGAACGTGTACGAGCATGTTCATGTAGTCATCCTCACAATCACCATCCCGTAACGCACGCATTGTCAGCTCTCGACTGGCACACACACAAGCGGGGGGGAGGAGAAGAAGGAGACGAAGAAGAAGAAGAAGAAGCACGGTGCATTGTATTCCATATCACCCCTCCTTCTCCCCCTCACCCGCATTCCAACTGGGAAATGTAACCTGGAGATACCGATGTTGCACAGATGCCAGATTTTTTTTTTTTGCTGAGAGGAGCCTCTCTCTTCGAACTTGGGACCGCATAATGCACGCCGGCTCGCTGCATATATTGGCCCTCAGCCTGGCGCAGCACATGTGTCTGCCGCTAAACTGCTGCGGCCAGCCAGACAAGGGCCCCCCCTTTCGTTCCGCCCAGCTGCAGAAGATGATGCTGGAGCGATTGTCCTGCGCCTACCCGTATCTAGGCAATTAATGACGACCGACATGAAAATCATGGAATGTGGTAAGCAAAGCGAGTGGACGGACGGCCTCCACTTGTTCGGCTCTTCTCTCTCTCGCTTGTGCTGCTCGTATTCCGTGATACTGCTTCCTTTGTGCATCTTTACGAGCGTCTTTAGTTGTCCAAAGAGCCGAAATTGGAGCGAGCCATTGAGCAGTGCCCCCGGCGCAGATCTTCGGGGGTGCCGGTGGGCGGGGCTGGACCGGAGGTGGAAGTGCCGGTTGAGGTCGGACGTGGCCGAGATGGGAAGTGTGGCGCAATGGGGGAGTTGTAAGGGTAGAGTGGCATCGATTGATACCAACAGATGTGTAGTATAGGTAATCTTATATCACAAGAAATGACTCTCTAGTTGTGGTCTATCTGTATACCGCATTTTCAGACTTGGACTGTCAACAGAATGACAAATTGACAAACAACTTCATAGTCTATTGTTCAAGGCCTTTCGATTTGAAGGCAGCATGAATTTGAGGCCAATGAGCTCGTCCAACTTCACGAACGATGTAGCATAAGGAAAATTCGTGAGCTTCAAGGCGTTTATCTACGGAATGCAATCGGCTCTCGACGAGAGAACTCTGCCTATATACGCTTGTTGGTCCTCTTCCAACACAGTCAGTCCCTCAGCTTGTCTTAAGAATAAGTGCATTTGTATAGTTCTTGAAACTCTATAATGAACTCTTATTAGGTATAGAGGAATATGTAACTGCACAACTAAGCCGATTCCTACTTTCCAAAGAGAACTGTTGTCGAGCAGCCTCATGCTTACTCACATCCCTTTGTGCTGATGTTATCTTCCTAAAACTACCAGTATTATCCCTCATATCTAGTAATAATTCGTCATAGTCACTTACTTCTATAAGAAAAGATCTCATGAATACACTCTACTTTCGTTGTCATTCGAGAGGAGAATGCTTGAAAGCATCATATTACCGAAAACCTGCGAACTGTGGTATCAATTAACCGTTCTAGAGTTCATCACTTCTATAGCTAGATTTAGCTCATGCTCTCAACATAGACGTTTCTTCTTATAGTCAATGACTATCGGGTCCCATTAGTCTTTTAAACTCTTTTCTATTGCGAAAGAAGCTGCACGTGTAGCGCTGGACGCATGGTGTTACCGCAAAACTGTGAAGCAGATGACTGGAAGATGTTGCATCAACTCCATTACCTGCGCCCATCTGCTCCGGTTATGTTTTTAAAAGACAGCTTCACTCACAGCCAAATCAATCCACTTTGTCGCACTATATCATTCTCTTTTACTTGCGATCAGCAGGAATCGTACGTCAAGAACATTGAGCTACTATTCGGGAATGCTCACTATTACTACTCCAGCCTCATCACACATTTCGAGCGATACTAGATCTGATCCTTTGATTAAATACATATGACTTATCTATTCCATGGATACTAACGGGTCACAGCCAAATCCATATCCACGCTTGTGGTGCACAAGTTTGTGGTAATGACATCTGCTTTGAACTAGTAAATTGCCGCGATCGATCTTTTCCCGTCACAGATTTTGCAATAATGACCACAAACTCTTCAATTGCTCATTTAACGTAATAGTATAGCGTTCCATAACAACATCCGTGTTTTCCATCCGCAACGTTGGAAACTCTGCCGGTGAAAAGTGATCATGGCTACGCAAAGGCAACACTCTTCTCATGAGGGTGAAATTGTTGATTGGTTAATTTAAATGATTGTATTATTATTTGATAATTCAGTCAGCCTCAAAGATCCATGATTGCCAACTACTTTTTTTTTCACGGGTAAATTGGCCATGCCGAGTAGACTTTGAGAGTTCCCCAAAGGTATTGAGGATAAAAGTGCTCGCCAAACCGAGCAAAGCACCCAATTTTATCAGGTTTTCCACATCAAACACCTCCATATAGTGACCCATCTCGTTGATTCATTCCAAATAAAATGATGGCTGTGAGCACGTCTTTTCCTATGCACCCTCTTACTTTTGCAAAAGCGCATCCATTGGTCGTTCTCAGCGCCAATCCTCCGTAGGAGATACCCAAGAAAGATAGGAGAACTCTGTTGCCAAATCGAACATCACCGCCATAAATTAGAACACATCTTAACTGAACATTTTCTTCGTCTGTTGCACTTATCACGCCTAGACATGGGGGGAGGGGTGGTCACTTCGGGGGAATTTCTCCCCTTGTAGAAGCCAGGTGTGTACGTCTGCAGAAGTAATAACACGTATATCAAAATAATTATGCCACATCTACAAGTAATGAAACCTTCGAGTGCACGTTTGTTATTGTTGGTATAATGTGAATGCATTATATGGGTATATACGTATGTTCCGCTTCCACCTCCTCACTACGGTCGTGAGAAGGTCTACTCAGAGACAGGGTCTAATATACCCATATATAATAAGCTTCATCAACCAATTGACTAGCAAGAGATCTGTCCAAGCTAATCACCTTCTCTTTAATTCTCGTCTCGGATGACTTCCGTACGTACAAGGGGCCAATGTAAATCTTTCCCAAGCTAAGTCGTCACCAATTCCTCCTCTTTTATCCAGCAAAGGATCCAATAGCTTTGAAACGACGCTAACAAACAACAAATAAACATTTAAACCATAAATCATCATACCAAATCTCGAAAGAAAATGAAAACTCAATCAGCTACTGCCTCCCCCGGGGTACAATACCGTGTCCCCTTGAAGAAATAGCAGAGCGCCCGCAATATCGGTACCTTTCTCCAACATCTTCAGGTATTTAGCCTCCGTACAAAGTCCCCGAATCACTAAATATGGGGCATCCGAGGTTATTCAATGCTAAATAAGCATCTTACGCGGATTAATTTCGACAATTGACCCAGCCAATCTTATGCCTCTCCCACCGTCCTCTCCGTCTCCCACAAAATCTCCACCCACGGGCAGACAAAACTCCAGTTCCCTCATCTATCCGTGCCAATAATCATTCATCATCACCTCTCAATATCGCTCTTCCATCACCAATAGCTCTGCCTTCCTTCAAAGCATCAAGCCATGCCATCACAATCTTATTTCACCATCGATTTGCCTCCTCTTCTCCCCACGCCCCCATACAAACAACCATCCCCACGCAAAACGCATCGACTACGTCCCCCTACCCAGAGAAACCTCTACAAACCCAGATTTACCCCATTGCCAGCTTCAATGAGCATCCCGGCAACGGAAGGGGGAGGGGGGGAAACCGCAAGCCCCATAGAGGCTTTCGCTAGGTCTTACTCGTCGCATTCACAGATTTAACCCAGCCGGCAATCAGGGCACATACAAAACAACTCCACACTTGATTTATAAAGTACAAATATGTCATAATATCAAATTATGTGACAAGAGTTGGTCCGGTTCCAGCAGAATCAAGCGGGGATTTCGGCCTTTTCTCCTCCTCTCGGCCGTTATACCACAAAGGGGGCGTGAACCGCCTTGTACCCTGCATGTCAGATTGGCTCTGTTGGCCATATACTCGTATGTTTGTATCCGATACTTATCTCCGGGAGCGTTTGTCTGTCTTTCTCTTGAACGTTTCTGCTTGCTGCATATTGTGGCAGCAAAAGTCGATACGACTACAGCGGCTTTTCCGGATCTATCACTGCTGCACGTATGCATATATGACAAGTCTTGCACACGGAGAATACTGTGAAAGTACATGTATGCCTCATCACAAGCACAAGTTTATTATCATTGTAGCCGTTGAATGTTTACTCATAATATTCGTATTTGTATGCAAAGAATAGAACCCTGACACCAATGCCATGCATCTAAACACCAATACTCTAAAAGAGAGGCATGACAGACTCCAAACAATATCTCATTCAGCCACGCTTCAAGTTGAACAACTCCATTGTGCGCCATATCAATCCTATATCTATTATATGCAGTTCCGAGGGTATTCTAGACGTAGAGAGCATCTTTATATCAAGAGGCTATAAAAGGGGCTGGCTGAGAGGGGAGGGGGTTATCTATCCGGTCTGGTAATTAAGTCGTCAGATAGAAATGCGGGATAGTGGTATAGCATGTGTCGTTAATCGTTGATTGACTAGTAAGCCCATTCTAGACACAACTGTCTCGGCCCTAGGCCACGTATGTATGCTGAGGTTTTCAAATCATGTGTCGTTACAATAATAGGCGCCATCGTAAGTTGCGGCTGAGCTACATATTCAAGCAGCATCCAGGGGCTTTTGGCCGTATATGTTATGAAAGGGAAAATAGGAATGGAACTTTGGTAGGCCATTACGCTCTGCAATGACGGACTTGCGGACTTCGACGAGGAACATCTCGATCTGGATGGGTGTCCATCCAAGCCCGTGATGAAGCGGCCGTCTGGCTAGTCCGACGAGGCCCCACAGGATGACATCTCGGAGGATGTGGCCGCATTCTTGGAGACGCCTTGACTTTGCCCATGGGCCGTTGGGACACTTTAGATCTAATCGATGAAGATCTTGGAAACCAGCAGCGGCAAGCTCGTCCTGAACATTTAGGATGCCATGGAGGTTTGAGCCGAGGACGGCAAGACCATCGTTCATGTATCGTAAAAAGTCACGCCAAGCATATGGCTCGTTGCACGAATCGTCGTCACAGTGAGCAGCATACTGGAACTCTTGAACCTCGACATAACCACCGGGTTTTAGGTGCCTGAGAGAGAAGCCAGTCATGTTAGAGAGTGCCAAAATTGAAGAAACAGGTAACCTCACTTGTAAACCCGATCCCACAGCTCGGTTCGGTCTTTTATGGCGTGGACGGCGTGGCGAATATGAATATAATCAAAGGAGTTTTCAGGATACGTCCATCCAGCGTCATGTTCGATGTCATCGACAACAAAGAGCACGTTTTCTGGTACCCAATCGGGCTGAATGGGTGAAAGATCCATGCCATGAAATGTCGCGTTTGGATACATGTCAGCCACTAGAAGGCGAGGTTAGAAATATGAGACTAGGGCTGTCTTATGCTCGGGGTTTTCAAATTGACGAATTGTGTAGCATAGACATTCAATCTCGCCTGGATTTACTCACATTCGATAACCCATTTCCCTGTCCCGGTACCTGTTTTCTACCATTAGTACACGAATGAGCGTTCTAAAGTGACAACGTGTATATATAGAAAAGAGGTTGCAGATGATGGTGATCAAGTTGGAGGCATAGACCGTTTGGCGCCAGAGAGACCCACCTAAATCGAGAACTTCAGCACCTGGTTTCTGTAGCCGCTCATGAATAGGAGCGTAAAAGTAGGTGCCCTCGCAGAGATGAATGGTCAGGTTGTGCTTGAGGTCGTCGCGGTACTGTTCTGTCTCGTCGTTGGGGAAGTTGTATTGCCCGGCGTGATAGGCATGGTACCGTAGGCCTCCGTCGATAATGTGTTGACGAATGCTTTCCGTGAGACTACGCGTCTCGTCCCAGGTGTCACCATCGGGAATATATTCGCCTTGCTCCAGATTTTTGATGCGAACCGCGTCCTGGGATGTGCCCACGGTGATAGCCGAATTGGTCGAAGTAGGTGACGGAGGGCAAACGGGACGGGTTGGGATTGGTCCGCTACTTGCGTCGTCGTCAACCATGTTTCTTTTTTATGTTGAGAACACAGATAGGTGACGCGATTGTGAAGAATTGCAGCGATGTAAATCGTGTAGACTTGCCTACGCGTGTAGTTGTGTGCGTGAAAGGCAACGTCCAAATGAGTGAGATGGTCTGCGGAAGATGTGGTTGGACATCCAAGTCAAAAAGCCGCAATATTTGAGAAAGCGAATTGGTGGGCGGCGATATGTATCCAGGTAAACGTAAGAATGCGAATGCGAGCGGTAACTGGGCGATATTGTGGCCCCATCCAAGTTCAAGATCGATCTGCAGTCTCTGGAAGGAGCTGGCTGGTGATAAGCTAGACAACCTTCAACAGCCGCTGTAGGGGATCAACCTGCCGGCAAGTATGAAATGGCTGTGTGCGTATGGCTACAGTATCTTCTAGCCTACCGGGGGCATCGCCAACTAAAGTAGGCTTCTCACAGAGCGGCGACCTTGAGAGATGGTGGGTTACCGACCAGACGCTAGGCCCGGCCCACGGAGACGATACTGGGGCCAAGGTCCAAGTCGAAGACGGTTGGGGCACGCACAGCAAGGTGGCAGCTTCTTGCAGTAGCGCTGCAGGCCAGCAACGCAGCGAATAGCTTCACGGACCAGAGAGGCCTGCTGTCTCGGTCTTGGCGAGCCGTAGCAGGAGTCGGGCACGGCGCTCGCACGGCGCTTGCACGGCAAGGAGTCGGGCGAAAGATGGCAACCAGCGAGAAGATCAAGGCATCACTTCAATCATCGTCAGGGCAGAGCCATGCTTTGTACAGAGTAAACGTCGGCGAAGGCTGAGGGTTGTAAGAAGGAGTAAGACGGCGAGAAAGCTTCCAAATCGTTTTGCCGCACCGCCAAGACAGGGGGCCAGATCAGAGGAAAAGAAATTAAACCGCAGGGCGACGTTATACCAGCACAGTATGGAGTACGTGTATGTGCTTCTGTAGCGGAGTCTTCAGTCCGCGGCGTCAGGAACACGGGGAAGCTGACATCGACAGGGGCTGGACGAAGGGTCCCCTTGGGAAGAGATAGCATAGGGAAGCTAGACAGATTTAAGGCTTATCACAACGGTTCGCGAGTCGATCCACGGTATTTTGTTTGTCTTTGCAAGTTGGCAAGGGAACAAGGTGCAAAAGAGAGGAGAGGGCAACCCGAGCGGAGTGAATGATGGCGGATTGCCGACGATTCTGGAGATGGATATGGCGGTATGATAGCGAGCAAGTCGGGGCCCCCATACAAGTCCAGATATGCAACAAACCCGGCACTCCAACTCCGCAGTTCGGTATTCGCATCTTGCTCTCCATGCTTCGCAAGGTACAGTCTTTGTCTCCCTGCTCTTTAAGGATTGCCGTCCACGGTCCCATTCATTGGCCATGTCGTCATGCATGGGCGATATCTTCCGAGCAACTCCCTGTTCGTATATGTCGCCAGAGGTGATGGGTGGACTTTTTCTCTCGGAGGGTTGGCCAATAGCGCCCGCAGCGTCATCTTCCACCAGAATCGCAACTGACTGAGCAACAAAAGCTTTGGCTTGGAACTAACCGCCAGCCCCATCCAAGACATGCCTAGAGCCTCTAGCGCAACTAGTTGAAGCCTCAATTCGACTGCTTGCATATTCCCGCAGCAGCATGGGCTCGACGTTGGAGGTCGTCAAAGCGCCATGGACTCGGTCCGCGATAATGGCGTGACTCTGCTCTGCGGTCTGCGGCGTCATGATGAGTGGCGGCCGGGCTCTAGCAGAAAGCAGGTAGGCTCATTGGACCCGGAGCAGATTTCTGGATGATCAAGCTCCGGAGAATTATCCAGCTGTCTCTTGTTCTCCGACTCAGCCTACTTGCCAAGTTGATCGGCAGCGTAGAGAGAGAGAAACCCCAAGCCAAAGCATCTGGCACTGTGTGTAACCTCCATTCCAAATTACTCATCAAAATACGCGGAGCTCTGCCCTTTGCAGGATTTGTTCCAGTGCTTCCATGCCGGTGCTCGAGTCCGGTAAGGCATCGACGAACGCGGGATGCCAAGCCAACAGTCTGACTGCCGCCGTCGATGGACCGTTTTTTCCCCTTTCTCTTCTCTTCTTGCAGCACTATCGAGTACTGTACAGCACGGCATGTCACAGGCTGTTTCTTCAGTTGGTTGAAACAAGGAATAAATCAAGTTTTTTTTTCGTGGCAATTCGCCATCTCGGTGAATCGAGTGTGTTGGGACAAGTTTGTGTGTGCGGACGGAATTAAGAGCACACCAACTGAAGAATTCTGATGCCCGTGCTAGCCTTGGAAGGCACTAACTTCCGATGCGAATTAGCCCATTGGGCCGTGCCTTCCTGCATCAGTTCCGAGCCAGCATCCAATAATGGATAGTGCGAAGGAAAGGACAGTACGAGTTACGAACCCAGGCAGGTACTCCCTCGGTAGCGCATGCCTTGACTCTTGACTTGTGCTCGCTTCGTCCACGGACGGCAGGTGCGGCCTCCAGTTGCAGTTGCCGTTGCAGCAGCACGGTTGCAATTTGCCATTGGACACCGCTTAGCACCTTCGCAAGTACCCAGGTAGCATACCAGGCAATTTCTCTCATTCGCCTCGCCGTTTCATCCACACACTTCTCCATCTCGAAGCCAACACAACCTCCGCCGAGCCCTTGTCCATGTCATGTTCCTTGTCTTTACTATCCAGTCCGTCCAGTACAGCGTTCTCGTACGAGTCCGGGTTTCTCTGCGTCTACTCCGTACTCGTACTCTGCCTGTACTCGTGCTCTTTCGCCCAGATATGAGATGCTTCGTACCGGCTGATACGCTTACGTTACGTTCATTACCTGGGCATCCTCCTCGTCCACGAATCGCAAGACTCTCTCGCTGGCCGATCCGACGATTGGCTGAGCTCGTTGCATTATCAATTCGACGCTTCGCAGACACGAACGAACCCCCTCTTGCGGATCAAATTGGCTGCTTAGGTGGCATGGGCTTTTCTCACCGGCTCCGCCCCTAGTGAGCTTCGCGACCCCCATTTTCATCTCAAAGGCTCCTCTCGGCTTTGACATTTTGTGCCGACCCGACAGTAAGGAACGCTAAACGCCTCCTCATCTTTGAGCTACTCATCTTACCCACCTCGACGCTGGCAATTGGCAATTTCCATGGCTTGCTGATCTCCAAAAGCCCACTCGCTGGTCGCTCCACTGCAGCTATGCCAAACTAGAGAACAAGCCCGGCAAGCCACGAATGCGATTCGGAGTACTATCCTACTCGGCACAGATAGGCCCAAGTATTCCCGTATCTTCGAAACCGCACGTGCTGTAGGGTACATGTCCTTGCTGAGATGTTCAATGCAAGGTTTTCCATTTGCGTCTCAGAGGCCAGTCGATGGCTGCGTGATTGGCCACGTCCTGATACTCCCTGGCTAACACTTATGCAAGCCGCTGCAGGGATCCCTTACGTAGACGTTCGCTCTGGCTGGGCTATTTTGCCTTCAATTGGCATTCCGTCCACAGATGGCGTTGGTCAGACCTCAATATTCTCTGCGTCCCGGGCGTTGCTAGCAGGCCCTGGTCTCCTCCGCCTCGGTAAATCGGAACGCCTTTTCATGTCATGAGGGTCCGGTTTCGAGTCTAGCCCATATTAAAATCAAGTTCGCTGGTTGCTTACAGTACGAGTCGTCTCTTGCATAAATGTCTGTCGCCTGAAGTGTGGTGCTGACCTACAGTATCCCACCACTGCCTGCAACTACTTATGTTGGAATGGTCTCACGTCTTACGGCCGAGGCTTGAAATGAATTCCTACGGGGTTAGGTGCATTCTCCGTTGGCCCAACTCAAGTATTTGAGTTGATATTTGACAGCAGCGCTTGCATCATCATCCTGGGCGGTTATCTAGAACCACTAGTCTGTGGCGAACTCGACCCATGAGTGTGGGTGCAAATAAGCCTTCTTCCAGAATCAAACTGCATTTTGAAGCCCTTCGCGTTACCATGCACTTATTTGGTACGAGTCCTCACTCTGTCACTCTGTCATGTCGCTACATTTCGCTTGATATGAGGTAGGTAAGGGGTAAGCTATCTAGTATGAGGCCTCATTCTGCTCTGGTTTATCTTGGCGGTTGGATGATTTTCTCCCTTTGCTACCAATAGCTGAACCTGCTGCCTCGATTTCATGTCTTGCGGCGGTGGACTCGTGTTTCGTGTTACGGGGGTTGGCCGATATCATCCGGGCACATCAACCGCAATGTGGTCCGAGTGATGCTCCGTGGCAAGGCATGGAGAAACCATAATGCCCATCCAACGAACCATAAGCTATGGCTTTTTTGTTCGCTATCGTTGGATTGTTGCCCCGCGCCAGCCAATAAATATCTCGCTGCTTTGACACCGGAGAGCCGCTACGCACTTACATTGGCGTGTTTAGGATTCATTGCCCCGAATTGCTCGTGGCCGACTTTCCAGTCCTAAACGTCACTTACTTAACAACGCCTCGTGAATACTCAAGTAACAATTCTCCTGCAAGACTCATAAAGATTGAATGGATAACTCCAAAGCAACATTGAAACTAACAACATGGTCATGCAAGGGATATTGCTGAACCATGGTGTCGGAACTGTTCGTGCAACAACCGTTGGGTCAGGTCTGCCCCCAGACCCGACATAGTGGCACCTATCACTCGCCTTGTTTTGAAGAACACACGGGCCATTGCCACCGCCAGGCATCAGCTCTCTTTTCTCGCATGTTGGAGGCATTGTGGCTTATGCAGGGGTTCCTCGTGTCATCCAGCTTTGTGTCGTGGACTGGGCGAGTTCCCCGACGCTGGGATAGCCGACTAATCGGATGTGCTCCGTATCTAGTTGGTCCTCCCTTTTTCCTACTTGCTCCGAAGAAAAGTGGCATAATTGTTCAAAATTAGAAACTACAGGCATTCACTGTATTGTTCCGTCGGATGGTGTTGTGTCGCTTCGCATTTAGGCCCCTGAAAATGTGTTACAATAGCATGACATATCAAGGCGGCCCCAGTAATCGAACAGATCAAGAGTCGAATGAAAAACTTGAATGAAATGAATGTCATTGGAAGAGTGTAGAAGCTTCGGTGCCCCAACACTACACTATTGTCCATCTAGAGTAAATCAACAATATGGCTCCAGTCTATCATCTGAATATCCCCTGAATCTAGTCCCTCACCGTTTCACACCCTCCACCTTTGCAAAGGCATACCGAAATTCCAGCTCATCCCGCGATCTAATAGCTCACTTACAGGAAGAAGACGAAGCTCAGCAAGGCAGTCAAAACTGTGGCCCCCAGCTTTGTCGAGCCGGCAACAACAGGAGGCTGAGTCGGGTGAGGCCAGCCGTGAGCAGTGGTAGGATGAACAGGAGGGTTAGGCGGGCCAGGACGGTCGTGCGTGGGAGCGGGAGGCTGAGGTCTAGGCGCAGGAGGAGGAGGAACAGGGCAAGTTGCGCCATCGCAAGGGGGTCGAGGATGACAATCGGCGCCGGATCCATTACAGACTTCATATCTGTGGCAGTCATCCCCGTTGCAGCGCTCGTGGCCGCATTCAAAGCCCTTGCAGACGAACTTGTTGCGGCACTCGTCGCCGTAGCACGTCTCCTTGGCACACTTGCCGTCGTAGCAGACAATCTTGGAGCTGCACTCGTCGCCGGCGCACTGGTGGTAGCGGCAATCCTTGCCATCGCAGATGACCAGCTTATGCCACTCATTCTTGTCGGTGCAGGCCTCGGGATAGCAGTCGTCCCCGTTGCAGATGACGCGGTGACGTTCGCAGTGCTCTTCACGACAGGGCTCCTCGGGGGCGCAGTGGCCGCCGTAGCAGACAATCTTCTTCTTGTGCCATTCGGGCTTGGGGCAGAGCTCGGTGGTGACGGTCACGATTTCGGTCGTCTTGTGGCCGACGGGGCAGTGCTGGACCCAAGACGGGCAAGATGTGATGGTGCTGGTCTTGGTGCTCGTGATGGTGCTTGTGAAGGTATGGTGAGGACGAGTGGGCGTAGTTCCATAAGTGTGATTCCACTGATCGCCGTCGTTGTGATATTCGTGATCATCGTGATGATACTCGTGGTCGTCGCGGTGCTCCTCACCATGAATTCTGACGTATAAGCTCAAGACAACAGACAGAGGCTTCTGTTTCTCCCGAGCCAAACGAGCAGCAGCGGCGAGACCACCGCAGGTCTGATGCTTATCTCCCGGACAAGGAGTGTTGCACAGATCCTCGCCAATCTTGCCTGCAGTCGCAAAATCAAGCTCATCTCCACAGTAACAATCCCTATAAATCATGAGCAACATGTAGGAAAGGACTATGTTTCCGTAAAACACTCACCTGTCGGAAGTGCCAAAGAACTTGCCTGGGCAGCTAGCTGCGCAAAAGTCCAGGTTCATGAGATTCGTAGAAGCAACCTTCTTAAAGTTGGGAAAGCCGGCCGTCGATGCCACGCACCCAAAGAGCCTGAAGTCGCCAACAAGCAGCGGGTGGACATCGAGCTTGTTTTGCAGAGGTTCCGAGGAGTTCGTGAAGTAGCCCAAGGCGAGCTGGGCGCCCAGACTGATCATCAAAGCCGAACGCATATTGAACAGAAAAAGAATGTCTTGTGATAAAAGAGTGACTATAAAATTCTCGGATTCTAAAGGAAGGAAATCGGAGATTTGAGTGTACTGCTGTTGAGTTGGTACTTGCTGCGATGAAGGACTCGTGTTTCCAGGAGGAAGAGTCTGCCATTATTTATAACTCCAGACATGGACCACCCGCATCAAAGAAGACCGATACAATCCACGATGAAGAATGCATATGCATGGTTATCCGGGTTGCGATCTGCGTTGTTCGTGAAGAGCGCAGGCTTTGCCGCCTCTGGGCGTGCCGGCATTCTTGATGTCTCACGACATGGTTCTACTAGAGAAGCAAGAGGTTAGTGTGCACGCTCTCTTGGAATTCCTCAAGGCAAGTTTCTTCTTGGTGCGGAAACCATCTCGGATTCCACGGCTCCGTCGTAGCTAGATACGTGAACCTTCAGCTGTAAGCCATATGCCACATGTTGGTCATCAGTGGCCTGACCATGGCGGCGCCGATATCCAAATTCCTATGCGTGAAAAGCTATAAATATTCAGGCCAACATGCAACCGAGCTCTCGCCCGCATATCATTCAGCCAAAGGAGGCTAGTCATGCTACCCAACATACAGAGGCAAGCCGAATGAGTCCCAAGCAATTTGTAACACAATTCCTGATCCATCTTCAAGAACAAGGAATGCCACCCTGTTCATGGTGGTGGAATACAATGCTGAACCGGCTGAATAGGGCGTCTTGTCTAGAGAAACATCAAAGTCCAATGACGCTGTATGGCATGCACCGCAGAATCGATATCGTAGTGGATCGAATACAATGAGGAATCTCAGCTCAGCTATCGCGATGAAGACATTGGTCTCGGCGAGAAGATGCTAGAGAAAGATTCAACGCGGCGGCGTTGTGAGACAAACGCGTCGCCGTGGGGTTTGTCTCTGATTTGATGCAAGGGAACAGAACACTAGGCCTAGATGACTAGGTCTGTTGGACTTGAGGGATGGATGGCAGTCCTTTACCACACAGAAGAGGACCACTTGTATTATGGAAAGTAGGGGAAGGGATCAATCGTACTTTTGGGTAGATATACTTGTTTACAGAGTACATCAATATTATTATTGCAATGGTCTTTGCATAGGGTTTATGGTTGTGTAGAAGCTCGACCTATCAACACATCCCATATATCTGAATGATCGTAGACAAATAGGAACTTCACGTATAAATTGACTATTCCGCTAAAGCGTCTCGAAAGAGTCGTACACTCAAATGCAACAATCACTTTCCTCACCAGAAAGTAAATACTCACTTACCCTATCATGCAAACACAAGATCCATATCGCTTATAAGCCCCATGACTATCCCTTTTGATAAAGAGAAGAAATGCGGATCGAGCTTTGTTTCTAGAGTCAAAGACAGTGTCGTCCAGTAAATGGCATGACAAGACCAATAAAACAGAGTCCTACGGTCCATGCGATCCAGTAACACGAGGTCACAAGTTGTCTCTCACTCTCCCAACACGGGTTGTAGCATTTCGCTGAATCGGGTCAGTTTGTGCCGCGGGAAAATAGGTAGCCCCTCAACCCCATCCCATCCCATCCACAGCAGCCATTTTACCCGGCCGATGAAGTCATGATCCCTGCAACGATATGGTTTCGACTATTGCAGACGCTTGACACTCAACTGTCTATTTGATGGTTTCGGGTCCAACCCCTGGTGTAACGCAACGAGTCGCCCACACTCGAGCGAGCTCCCCCGCAGGTTCTGCAACCCTAGAGGATACATCACACATGTTCATGCAGAGACTTTGGTGACGGCCGCAGCGATTCGATGAACGTTGACGGAGCCATTGCAGTAGTTCGCCCCTCGGCAAATGAAGCGGGATCGTTGAGGAGTTGCGGGGAAAGGTAGTCAAGTTGGAGTATCTTGCGCTGCTAACTAGGACGATCTTGTTGTTTGAGGTGGTCGGCAGCGCACGCACTATTGATGTCATGAATAGATAAATAGGTTGCAAACTACCTGTATTAGCATATATCGAAGTTGGGCTTCATTTGAGGTCTTCTTCAACAAACCATAGTAGGATAGCCCTATCGCCAACGACGGAATCGTCTGAATATGGCGAGACTGCCCTTTCACGCCGACCATATCGGCTCCCTCATTCGGCCAGCCCATGTATCCGATCACCAGAAACAGTTCGACCAAGGCGAAATCACCGCGGAAGAGCTCCGCCTAGTCCAACAAACCGCCATCAAAGAAGCCGTCAAAAAGCAGCAGCTCAATGGCACGAGGGCGCTGTCGTCAGGCGAGTTCGATCGCAAGTACTACTTCTCGGGTTTCTTCGAGAAGCTCACCGGTTTCCGCGAGGTCAGCCCTGTGCCATGGGAACTAGCACGCCTCTCTGCGCCGCCCATCGCGGCTCTTAAGAAATCTGGGCAGCAGTATCCCATGGCCGCGATCTGCGAGGGCAAGATTAGCTACGACAGCAGCCCATATCTCGAAAACTGGCTACTGCTACGCAACACGGTTCCGCAGGAGCAGTGGAGAGAGTGCAAATTCACGATGCCCCCGGCTTGTTATTTCCATTTGAGGCTGGCTCCGGGAAAGTGTTATAGTGCCGATGCGTATTCATCAGACGAGGACTTCTTTGCGGATTTGGCCGTGGCATATCAAAAGGAGATTAAGACATTGTTTAGCGAGGGACTGCGTAATCTCCAGATTGATGACCCCACGATGGCATATTTCTGCTCGGAGGAGATGCAAGACTCGCTGCGCAACGACGGCGTGGATCCTGATGCGCTGTTTGACCTATATTTGAAGGCTCATAACGACTGTATCGCGGATCGTCCTGAAGGGCTCCATGTTGGACTGCATATCTGCCGAGGTAAGTCGTGAGTCGGGATCCCATCCTGCCAATCTGTTCCATTCCTTTGCGATTCAGAATAATGACCCATTCCGTGTGATTTCCACAGGCAACTTTTCAAAGTCAGTCCATTTCAGTGAAGGATCGTATGAGAAAATCGCCGAGCGCTTCTTCAAGGTTCTCAACTACGACACCTTCTTCCTCGAGTACGACAACGCAAGATCTGGTGGTTTCGAGCCTCTGCGCTTCCTCCCCAGGAACAAGAACGTTGTCCTTGGCGTCGTGACGACCAAAGATCCAGCACTTGAGGATTCTCAGGAGATCAAGCGGCGTGTCCTAGAAGCTGCAAAGATCATTGCAGACGGCCAACAGCGCAGCGTCGAGGAAGTCATGGAGAACATTGGCATTAGCCCGCAGTGCGGCTTTGCCAGCGTATCTGTTGGAGCTGAGGGAATGACTGAAGAAAAGATGTTTGCAAAGCTGCGGCTGGTGAGAGATGTTGCAAAGGAGCTCTGGCCAGATCGGCCTTGAAGCTGACAGCGCGCTAGACAAAGGATCCCAGGACTTTATGTGGATTTGTAACTATTGATTCTAGCCCAGCTGGCGTCTGACAGTCAGAATGCTAAAGTAGTATTAGTCCTGTAGTACATATGCATGTTGGCCGTCAAAACATTCAGCCCTTGGTCTCCTTGTTTACATGTAAACAGCATGATGTTTTGTCGTTACATGTAGCTATGCAGTGCCGCGTGATGTTGTAATACGCAAAGTCGTTCCGTTGCATCCGTTGGATTGATTAGTCCCACCATCCTATGAGCTTTTACAAGTCGGTTCGTAGAATCCGATGGCATCCATGTATACTCTCCGCCCCAAATGTTGTTCAAAGGAGTGCCTCTGCAGCTGAACAAGGCGCGCATGAATCCTTCAAGTTGGCCCTATCTCTTGGAGTGTAGAAGAGGGGTTCGGGAGCCTCATTCATCCGCCCACATAAGCCCTATAAGCAGAGATTTGAACCTCCTCTCCTTGCCCATTTTCCTTGAGAGCGAAGAGGGATTCGGCATCGTACGTTGTAAGCTTCTGCTAGCTCGACCGATGGTCCGTCGGGCGTCAGCGACTTCCGCTAAACCTCCAGCTCGTCTACCATACGAGCACTAGTTTGATTAGTGATTATTGTTCAAAGCCTCAGATTGATAAATCACGATTGAAATTGCCATACATTCTGCAGCTTATCCAACGTCGAAATAGTGCCTGCCTGATAATGGAGTAAAAGCCGAGGTACCAGTGGAAACGTGCCAAGGCCCTGACTGCAAATAGACATATCTTTGGCCATTAAGCTGCCAGTCAGAAACAAAGCTGGAGAGACGAAGCGCAACTAAATTGGCCAATAGCATCTGTCACTAAAAAAAGACCATAGTGAGCCTGGAAATGCGGCACGCAGGGAACTGTGAATGGTGAAGGCAAAGCAAAGCTAGCTTGCTGGTCTTGTCCACGGATGGTGTGAAGATATCATATTAGCAAATGTACTCGTAGTCAAGTCGTGTACTATAAGTGACGGTATCCCAGGTCATGGTAGCGTGGACCACAGGTTCTCCTCCTGAATGCTTGTCAATTCGGCATTACTGGTGGTCTGTTTTGGTCTTCAACATGCGCTTCCTTTCTGATACCACAGGCCCAGACCGGCGGGCTCTCGGTCCCCAGATGCGAGTCATCGGTGCTGGTCTTCCTCGATGCGCTACTTCTTCGCTTCAAGCTGCTTTGGAATCTCCTCATCTGGGATTTTTCCCCTGCATGCACATGGCCCACGTAATGCCGAGCAATGAGCGCGCCGAGATTGTCCTCAAGGCCATGCAAGAGCGGGATAAGGAGAAGAGGCAGGCTCTGCTACACAAGATCTTCGATGGATACCAAGCCACGACAGACTTTCCTGGCTTCTGGTTCCTCGATGATCTCATGGACATGTATCCAGACGCCTTGCTGGTCCTAAACCAACGCAAAGGAGGCGACAAGTCCTGGCTGCAAAGCTGGAACAGCAGCATAGCTTTTTTCCGCACATGGACCTATCTGTTGCTCTGCCTGCCAGTGAAAAACGACCGTCTGCACTGGCTTTTGCATCGCGAAGCAAAGAACCAAATCACAGAGCGGTGGCGCACAAACGATCTCGATGGCTTTTATGATGTATACCAGAAGCAGGTGCTCGACGAAGCCAAACGGAGGAATCGTAAGATCTTGGTCTGGACGGCCGAAGACGGCTGGGGGCCGCTGTGCGAATTCTTGGGCAAAGACGTACCAAAGGACGAGCCATTTCCTTGGGTCAACGACGCAGCGACGATGAAGCTTATTCAAAGGATCCTCGTTGCCAGGGGCTTAGCATCGTGGTTGGCCATTTTTGGCAGCGTATATGCAGCATGGAAATATGGGCCATCTCTTTTGCAATCTCGTCTTGTTCAGGGCTTGTGGCGGCAGGCTCGTCAGCTGCTGTAAAAGAGATTGACTGGGTTGATAAGCACTTCCATACAACCGAGATGGCAGCAGATTGTTATCAGTGATTACTTTTCAGAGAATGTCGGGTGAGTTTATGCTTTGGAAGAAGGGAGAGGATCAGTGGAGGTGGAGAAATTGATATTTAAAGAAAGAGTAAAGAGAGATTAAGGATATGTGTAGTTGAATAGCAAGCAGTCATTTTTTTTTCAATGCTTTAGTCAGTCATGATGTAAAGACTTTCCAATCTCTGGGAAATATAAGTTCAACCTGGGCAACTGCCAATATGTCAGCTACCTGCCAACTAGGTACAACACGGTCAAGCGAGATAGCGCCAACGACTGTATAATCTCGCAAAAAGAGGGTATCTTGATCATCACATTATTCAAGCAAGGGGACATATATAGTTCGTAGTAAAAAATAGAATTAAAATTGCCAAAAAATAAATTTGGTGTTGCGTCTCCTCCGGGAAGGCTCGAACTTCCAACCTCCTGATTAACAGTCAGACGCGCTAGCCAATTGCGCCACAGAGGATATGCGATTGTTGATTTTTCACTGCTTAATTTAGATTATACAGACATGGGAAACCTCCTATTGCGTCCCCGCCGTGCTCTTTCCGTGGATCGCCGTCATTCAATCGGGCTTCTCCGCATACTTACATGAGCCTGTATAAATGCATTCAAATGACATGTGAATGCCCCGATCAGTCCCTTGACAGGTGAGCACAGCATCTTTCAACGCAACTCTCTCGTCATTCCTCAGCACCTCAAATTCACCTCCACGGCCCGGAATCATCGCTAGGGAACAATACCTATTACGCCGCACTGCTACAAATCCCCTAGGCTCCGGCTCTTCGCCCCTAATAAACCACTATCGCTCAGGTAGACACCACCCTGCGTCATCCCCAAGTCCGGACGACACGCTTACAGCCGCTTCAGGCCCAGTCACGAGCACCATCGCCGGCCGGATTCGCAACTGCGGGGAGCCTCTCTGCCGTTGCGCGACTCTGCACCGCAACGCTTCTTCCGGTTTCAGCGCCTCAGGTGCTCGCCCTGCTGCTCACACGACAGCCATCCTGCTGCCTTTTCCCCTTTGCCGGCCTCACCACGGGCTACTGATCCCTGCTGAGAGGCTGCTCTGCCACCTGAGCCCGGTCCACTTAGAGGCCATCAGCATTTGCCATCGCCTCGCTATTAGAGGCCTGTCTCTGTCGCAAACAAAAGGGCCGCTGGGCTGGAGCTGCCTTGAGCCTAACTAAGCCCTTTAACCCCCAACTCTCAACCTCTGGCCGCAACTCGTTCCTTGTATAACCTGCTACTTGCACAAGCCCTCCGTGACAGTGATCGCGAATAAAGGCACCCTAAAACTACTCGTCGCTTTCTCTCCTATATTCTACATACCTATATTCAATCCAGCTCTGGACGTCAACCGGGCCGCGTCGGGCCTCCTCCCGCCACCATGTTCGACCTCTTTGCGATGCTCTTATCGTGGGTTTTATCTGCCCCGCCATGCCGTCACTGCTAAGAAGCGCTAACGCCCCAAGCAAAACAGCTCTATCGCATCCTTTCTCTTCCCCATCTTTGCCTCCTACAAAGCCCTGAAGACGTCGGATCCTGCACAGCTGACGCCATGGCTCATGTACTGGGTCGTCTTTAGCTGTTGTTTGTTGGTGGAGTCGTGGGTTTACTTCATCCTTGCGTGGTACGTCTTACAGCCGCCTCCGTGTCCGTCTCACGCCGCTTGTGACGCTCTGATATTGATTCATTCGCCTTATAGGGTGCCGTTCTATGGCTACATCCGCCTTCTCTTCTTCCTCTACTTGATTCTGCCGCAAACCCAGGGCGCCCGAGTGCTGTACGAGCAATACGTCCACCCCTTCCTCCGCGAAAACGAATCGCAAATCGACGAGTTCATCGCGAGCGCCCATGAGCGTCTCAAGGCGGCCGGTATCGATTACTTCCGAAAGGCAATCGACTACTTGAGAGTCAATGTCCTGGGCCTGCCGCCGAGCGAGCCCGAGCCTCCCACTCCCCCTCCGAACACCTACCAGAGCTACACACAGTCGCTCCTCGCTCGATTTAGCATTCCGACGGCGACCGGACCTGCCGCCCCCTCCAATGTGGGCTCGGATCTCTTCGGCCTGCTGGCCAGCGCCGTAGCCGCGGCGACCGGTGGCTCGGGGGCACGAAGCGACGCCGCCGGCATATCGTCATCATCAGTCGTCCCGTCTCACATACAAGACTCGAGCGAGAGGATGACCTTTATTGCCTCTCAGCGGGACCGTCTCAACGTTCTTCTCACAGCCCTGGATCGTGAAGCGGCACAACTCCAGCGAAACGGCGGGCAGACGCAGTCCCGATCTCGCTCCAGGCACTTGGATAGCGACGAAGAGATCACACAGAGGCCGCCCAGCGGGCTCAGCGGATGGAGTGGACTGAGCAAGAGCCGCAGCGAGACTGACTTTGAGAAGATCGATGCCGAGAGCGGGGCCGAAGATGAGGCCAACCTCCGGCGCCGTCATGCTGCAGGCGGTGACGGTGGTTCGTGGATGCCTTGGGGTCGCAATACGCAGCCGGGTACAGGCCACAGCTCTGGGCTAGAGGACTAGGAAGATCAAGAACGTCGGAAATGGCTGGCCCGCGAGTATAGACTGAGCGCGTAGACCACCTGTTACCGCCATGTCGCGTGGATGCTATACATGAATTTGTATGGAGACTTGAGACACTCTTTGAGATATTGAATCATGATATATCGAGGGGAGTAAAAAACGGCCCCCACAGATGCCTTTTTTTTTGTGTACATCCAACCCATAGGTCTAATCGAAACCTTGCTACATGGCATCAACCAAAAAGAAAAAACTATTTCTCTTACACAAGTATCATACAAGTCCACTCCTCGCCCGTGCTGTGATCAATGTAATTGTTTTCGGGTGTGTCTCTTTTATTGCAATTCGCACATTTTGCACCCCCTAGATGGTCATCAAATCCTCGTGAAATCTTTCATCGGCGACGTAAAAGTTCATCCCATCAGGCGTTTGGCCCCTACTTGCTGGCCTTGTAGGGATACGACACATCCACATCGCCCTTCCTGTACCACTGCAGTCGCTTCTTCTTGGTCGTGACGTGCTCTACCCACACTTCCTCCATGTGATTCTTCTTGAACCATCGGACAAAGTGGGGGTCCCACAGCTCGGAGGCGATGCCCAGGTCTTTGCAGCAGCGCATCAGAGCGTTTGATTTGCAGCCTTCGACGGCAGATGGGAGCTGTTCGGCGGAGAAGTACGAGTTTTCGCCCTGGGCTTGTGAGACAAAGCTGTAGAATACATTAGCAGACGGGCTTGGGAGTGACGAGAACGCAGCGATTGGTAGGATGTCTTACCGGCCATCGACGATGAGCGCATACTCGCGGGTCACGATCGAATCACCAACAACGGCCTCTCCCTTGGGAATCAGGCCCCATCCCATTGGACCAAAGACCTCGTTCAGCCTCCTCCTGTACTTGATCTCCGGCAGGTAGATGACGCCGTCGGGCTTGACCTCGATGTCCTTCTCGTCCACAGGCTGCATGAGTGCCTTGAACTGCTTCTCCGTCACCGGCCGGGCCGAGATGCCGTAGAAACTCCTCGTCCAGTCCACGACGGCCGGGTCCGTCACATCGCCATCCTCCCTTGCGTCCTCGTACACAATGTTCTTGGCCTGGTAGACGACGTCGCTGTACGATGCTGCGGGGGACGGCGTAGACGCTGCCACTGCCGGCTTGGTCGCTCTGGGCGCGGGCTTTGCGTATTTCGGCGTCGCTGCTGCTGGGGGGGAGCTGGGCTTAGCTGCGGGCTCTTCTGTCGTTGACGTAGTTGACGTCTCTGTGGAATAGAGGCGTGCTGATGATGGCTGGATCGGTCTGAAGGAGCGGCGGGCGAGGTGCCTGGAGGCAGCGGAAAAGGCTCTGCGTGAGGGAAGCATGGCCGGATAGGGATTGGCAGTGCGGAATCTTGTGTTGTTTGAGGTTCAGGGCAATGGTTGTGAATTCACGGCATCTGAAGATTTCATGTGTTATCGCTGATATGGGCCGGTCAAAAGAAGTTCCGGCTACCGTTGCGTGTGGTTCTTTGTTTAATGTTCCTTTGACGCACTGGTGAATTACATACAAATCGGCATGTCTTTGTTGCAAAATTCATGGATATTTTTTTTTTTTAATGAGTTAGGATAGTCTATTTACTGTTGTTACATTTTTCTTCGAGTTGAAACTAATACTGGGAGATGGGAGAGGCCATTTATGTATCCTTGGTGCTGGTTCGCTCATTGTTGCCGTGCTGCTTCCAGCATTCTTTGAAGTCCTCCATCTACAGGCACAAACAGGCATAATTAGCAACTGCTTCGAACTCGACATAAGTGCGATGAAAGCTTGACTTATTCTGCGATGAATCAAAATACTTGCCTCTTTTGCACATGCTCTCCAATCCTTCTTTTCGTAGTAGCAGTCTGTCATTTTCGCGTTTTCATCTGTTCACGAATTGTCTGAGTCAGCTTTCCAGTTACCCTAGAAGAGAGGTATTCTGAAAATAAACTGTGGAAACTGCCTGATCCCATCCTCAACGTTTCTTCCTTCTTTATATCTCCTCAAAAAAGACCAGAAAGACGTAGCCATAAATCAATTGACTTCATCTGGCGAACTCACCCGCGCAGCCGGTGCTGAATATCCGCTTGTCCCTAGAGTTCGCAAAGGCACGGCTTAGCGTCGGAGCCTCTTCAAACGGCCAGCTTTAACCCGCTACTCACCACTCATCCGGCTCATCGTCGTCCTCAATTGCCGCGGCTGAAGCCTCCGTAGCTGGCGGCTTTTCTTGCTCTTGTCCGGGCATATCGGAAGATTTTGCGGCTTGTGAAGAGTCGTCAATGGTCCCGGCGTTGTTGCGGCGCCGGTTGATGTAAGAGAGAAGAAAAGAGCAAATATTGATTAACAGGTGGCGTGACTTGTTACTTCGGCCGGAGAAAACAAAGCATCATGGCGCCCAGTCGACTCAATATCCTGGTCCATACAGGTCAATATTCTCCCTCCATCTGACCTCTATCTACTGTATCACGTATTTTTTGCTCACTGTAACCAACAGGCACCGGGACTACGGCAGAATCTGTGCGGCATTGCATGTACTCTCTCCGCCGGCTTCTATCCCCCAACTACGCCATCATCCCCATCAATGAGACGGCCCTCCTAAAAGAGCCGTGGGCCCAGACTTGCGCTCTGCTTGTGTTTCCTGGAGGCGCTGATCTTGGCTACTGTCGGGTCTTTAATGGCGAGGGAAATCGCCGCATCAGCGAGTTTGTCCGGCGAGGAGGGGCATATCTCGGTCTCTGCGCCGGCGGGTATTATGGCAGCAGCAGATGCGAATTCGAAGTTGGTAACAAGGCATTGGAAGTGATTGGCAGCAGAGAGCTTGGTTTCTTCCCTGGAACGTGTCGTGGCGGGGCATTCAAGGGATTCGAATACAAGAGCGAAAAGGGAGCGCGAGCTGCCACCATCAAAGCGGAAAAGCAGTCCCTGATAGACCAGGTACCTGGCGAATTTGCCGTCTATTATAACGGAGGCGGTGTCTTTGTTGATGCGAACCCAACAGGAGGACGCAAGATTAAGGTTCTGGCCTCGTACAAGGACGATTTGGACGTGGACGGTGGTGATGAAAAGGCTGCAGTCGTTTTATGCCACGTGGGAGAGGGCAAGGCAATCTTGAGCGGGCCTCACCCGGAGTAAGTTGACTATACTGTTCATTGGGCCTTTTGTAAGGGGACGACCTCGGCTTACATGTTCCAAGATTTGCCCCAGCCAATCTCAATGCGCAGCCGGACATCCCAGGTTATAGCGAGCTGGTCGACAAACTTGCCGCGGACGACAACTCCAGAACGAGCTTTTTGAAGGCTCTTCTATCAGAATTGGGACTCGAAGTTGTCCAAGACGATTATACGCCCCCCTCGCTGTCCAGCCTCCATCTTACTGCTCTCGAGAGCGGCAAGGTGACGGAGCTGCTGTGTGACTGGGGGGACGCTATCGAAAAGGAGAATGGCAACGAGTATATCCGCGGAGAGGCGGATACTTTCCAGATCATAAATCAAGAAGACGGGCTGAATCTGGGCGAGCTTCAAAGCAGTTTGCCGCAAGCTGAGACGATGGACGACCCAAGCTCGGTCATCAAGAAGATTATCTCTCATGAGGCGAAGTTACCTAGCGTTGATCTAACGCCGCGTTTTGACCACGAACGTTTCTACTCGAGTCTGAAAAAGTACAGAAAGATTGAATCCAGCGCTGATCAATGGGGAGATGTGTTGCTCTACGGAGATGTCGTGACGAGCACCAACACTCTGCTTGAAAAGTGCGTCTTGTCCCACACTGCACTTGGATGACTGTTCAAAACAATTACTGATTCATGGACATATAGGAACCCAAAGCTCAACTGCAAGCTACCAACAGGCTTCACTTTTACTGCTACGACCCAAATCGCAGGCCGAGGACGTGGAAGCAACGTTTGGGTCGCGCCCCCTGGATCTCTCTTATTCTCCACCGTGATCAACCACCCAGCTCACCTTGCCGCATCACGGCCGATAGTGTTCATCCAGTATATTGCAGCCGTTGCCATTGTTGAAGCTATCCGCGCATATGATACAGGCTATGACAAGATGCCAGTCAAGTTAAAGTGGCCCAACGATATATGTAAGTTACAATACATGAGATATCCAATGACGATTCTACCATCTCTCTTCTCTATACATACAGCCTTATACATCCATTTCATGCTAACCTAAACATTAGATGCCCTTGATCCCACAAAACCAGCATCCTCCCAGTCCTACGTCAAAATCGGCGGCATCCTCTCCCAGTGCAGCTACTTCAACGGCGCATACCAAGTCGTCCTCGGCATCGGCATCAACGCCACCAATCCCCGTCCGACAACCTCCCTCTCCGATCTGCTCCCGCAAAACGTCGCGCCCTTCCACATAGAGACCCTTCTCGCCCGCATCCTCACCCGTCTGGAGGCCGTATACGAGCAGTTCCGCCGCGAGGGCTTCTCCCAAGACCTCGAGACGCGGTACTACCGCCACTGGCTGCACACGGGCCAGGCCATCACGCTGGAGGCCGAGGGCGGTGTCAAGGCGAGAGTCTTGGGCATCACTCGCGACTGGGGGATGCTGCGTGTTGAGGAGACGGATTCTGATGGAAGGGGGAACGGCAAGATATGGAGCCTCCAGAGTGATGAGAATAGCTTCGACTATTGGAAGGGACTTGTCCGCAGGAAAACATGAGTTATCAAAATAAGAGTACACGTCAACACGGTTAAAACAGGTAGAGGGCTCATCTAATCATTTCAATTTTACACAGGTGGTATGTTACATCGTTTCGTATATTGTACAAGCATGCTGACAGCCGCGTATTGAAGTCAGTTCCAAATCGCCCTTGCTTTTTTTGTTTTCGTCTAGACCCAGTCTCCGGTGGCCTCGAAGCCTCTAGATGTCTCCCTCCTCCATAAACGCCGTGCCATGCCACTGTCGAGTGAAGATGTGGTAATAATAGAAATAGAAAGAAAAAAACAAGGAAATCATATACAAAAGGGTGGGGATATTGAGTTGTCGTCCCACCCGCTCCATGGAGGGAGGAAGCTTCGCGGCTCGCTCATCTCTTCCAAGTTAGAACATCGAGCTGCCGCGTAAGCTCTTCTCCCACAAACCACCCGTATTATACCTTGGTCGTATAAGTCGTCCGCTTCAAACCCTGCTCATTGATCCTTGTAGACTTTGGGCTTCCACCCCTCTTTTGCCTCAGCCTCCATCTCGGCTTTTTCTCGTATGGGTCCAGTCTCAGCCTCGAGGCGCTCCTTTGCTCTTACAATCTTGCTCTGGAGATAGAAGCTGCCACCCTTTTCAGGGTTGTTTGCGTCAAATAGCCTCTTGTACCGCTCGAGCGCCTCCTCGACGTTGGCCTGGCCATTGGCCGGGGGTTTGACGTTCAGGATGCGGCAAGCCTCCTCCAGGGTCATGCCGGCTGTGAGAGAGGCTCGACCTGAAGCGCTGACGCCAGTCGCCTTGGCTTGCGCACGCTGATATTGCGACGAGGCCTGGGCTTGTCGGTAGGCGGCCATGAAGGACCGTCCCAGGATGCGAGAGCCCGTGAGGAAGGCTGTGATGACGAATTTGTGTGCCTTTTTGAGAAAAGTGATCCAGGGTCAGTCATGTTTGTCGCGGCATCGTGTGATGTGATTCCGGGGCCTCGGTAAGTAAAAGAAAAAAAATTGGTGCAAGACATACCATGGTGATGAAGAAGCCAGTGCAGCTGACCGAAGCAGATGAAAGACGCTCCTCTCACAGAGATTGTGTAATCCTGTAGAATGCGGCTGACGAAAAAGACAAGCAAGTAGAAGCACCGTCCCGCGGCCGAGAATGCGAGAGTCGTTGTCTCTTGAATTTTCCCAATTCCGAGTTTGCGACTTATCCGGGGATAAACTTGGGGCGACCATCCTTTTACCCGGAGATCAGCCGCTCACCGAGCCGCCCCTCACCGCGGTAAAGCTCCCCGTCCCAACTCCTCCAAGCCTCTGCAAAACCCCCCGCCCATCGTCTGTCGGCAAATTCCAGCCACAGCGCGAAGAGGATCCCCCTGAACGAGCCACGCAATTGCCCATCTCACTAATAAATTGCCTGGACTATGCCTGGATCCTTGGTCGTCGTGATTGGCAGGATCCGTTGATGCTATTTGCCGTCGTCTGTCCCGTCCGGAAAGTAAGAAGCTAAAATACTCTCCGGCAATTGCATAATCCAATCTAAGCCTGCCGTATACGCGTTTTTGGCTGGACTAGGGTTTTCCGTCTGTTTCATTGAATTTGGCCTAACAGCACAGAGTCGTCATCACCTCGCCAGGGTTTGCTTATGAAGAGGCTTCAGCTTGAAAAAAAAAAACATATATTACCTAATTCCCGAATCATCTCCCTGCCCCTTCATTGCGAGTTCTCTTACCATATTGTTCAATTGTTAAAGCGAGACATCATAATATCGTGTTTTTTGTGAAAATAGGGATATATCAGCAGCAGCAGCAGCCATGGCGCCCAAGGAGATTGAAGAGATGCTCCTGCGTGAAGGCAGCAAAGTCTCTCCTGACAAGTACGATGAAACCACGGAGTCTGTGGACGCTCGTCAGAGGAGAACCGAGCTACTGATACCTCTCCTGGCGGCCTGTCGTGAGGTATGGACCTCCCATAGCCAGGAAGACCTGGAGCTCATGGCCGAGAAGCTGGGCGATGGCAGCAGAGATGGTGAGTCACTACTATATCAATCAGCCAATAGATCAGATTATGACAGAATTGGTCCTTGGATACGTTCAAGAGAAGACCTGCACTGGTAGACTGACCCAATACCTGTATTCATATAGTGGCATGGCGAGGCCCGTTTGGTGATTCTGGCATCTTGGAGTTCTTCCTTCGTGTCCTCGCTGGCGGCTCTCTGGAGCAGGGCTTGAAAATTCATATACTGCGGCTGGTGGGAAACTCTTGTGCAGATACAGACGAGAACCGTGCGAGAGTGATTCAAGGAAACCACCTCGTTACCGTCATCAATCACCTGCAAGATGAGAGCTTGATACCCTTTACAATTCCCGTCTTGTTCAACATCTTGGTTGACTACGGTAAGGCCCGATAACTTGTCAAGGTCTGATGAATGGCCGTCAAGACACTAATATGTCATTTCAAAGAACCTGCACAGCTTGCCGCCTCACAGGCCAACCTCAACCAGCGACTCATCGATCTCTTGTCCTCCCCAACCCTGGCCAACTTCATCGTCTTCGTCCCCTATTTCTGCAAGATTCTCGCTCTGCTTGTTAGTCAAGAAGGCGAAGCAGCTCGTGCAAGTCCCCGAACAGTGGAGATTCTGCTCACACTGGCCACGGGCCTGCCGTCTCGAGATGACATTGACGACTTCATCTCTCTCGTCTCGGTGGCCGGCGCTTACCTTGCCGATGACAAGTTCCAGGCCGCCCTGATCCAGGGACCTTTGATGCAGCTCTTCCTCTCCACCTTTTACCACGCTCACACTCACTTTAACGCGCTCGAAATCGACGACGCCGATACGCAAGCATCCCTGAAGAAGCTCTACTCTAGCCTTCTCGTCAGCTTGGCGGACATCACCGGCAACGACCTGTTCGCCTCATGCTACCCACTGCAGAGCCCCGTTGCCCAAAACTTTCTTGCTTGGCTACAGAGCTCGAACCTCCAGCTCCAGACGGCGGCGTGCCTCGCCCTGGGCAACCTCTCCCGCTCAGATGAAGCCACCACCTCTCTTGTTCAGGCTTACTTTGCGCATGGCCCCCTGATAAGGCTCCTCTCGAATCAAGACGTCACCGACGCACAGCTTCTCCACTCAGCATTGTCTTTCTTGAAAAACCTTGCCATTCCGCTTCAGAACAAGCCGCTTCTCGGTGACTTGCTGGACGTCACATGTGTCCCGCGGCTGTACAGCTTGGATGCCTCGCCCCAGGTGCAGTTTGCCGCCGTGTCTCTGACTCGGTTGCTTCTCCTCAACTGCCCGGCCAACGTTGCTCGTATTTGTGCTCCTCTCAGCGCAGACCCGGCCAGCCCAGCCCGTGAACGCTCCAGTGTGAGCGGCGTCATTGCTCTTTACGAGCGCTCCGATGCTGAGCCCACGAGGCTCGAGGCTGCCCGAGCTGTAGCCGCCACATGCCGGATGCTTCACTCTGGCCCAGTCGTGCCTTTACTGCCAGACTGGGAGCGCCCAACTAGCAAAGACGGCACAGCATCGTCCGAGCCTGAAGAAAACAAACGCCGTGAATACTTTTACAGCAAGCACGACGTTGCTAGGGTTCTCTCGTTCCTGATTGTCCAGCAGAAATGGCCAAGTCTTCGCTCAGAAGCTTGGTTCGTCTTTGCTCTCATGTGTCGTTCCAAGGAGGGAGGTCGCGTCATCGTGGAGCTGCTCTCCATCCACGGCACCATGGCGGAGCTCATCAAGGCCATCACCGGAAGAGAGACTCCCCTCGGCGAGGTGGGAGGCAACGACCAGATCGAGGAAGCGCCATACGCGCTGGCCGCTCCCGACGGCCAGATCACGTCCATGGCGGAGGGCCTGGGACTCGAGCCTCAACAGGCTGATCCCAAGCAGAAGGAGAGCATGCTTCGGGTGGATCGAGAGAATGCTCTGGTGATGTGCACGGAGCTTCTGCGGACGTGGGGCGATCAACTGCCTGGTCTGAGGCTGAGCATCTTGCAAGATCTGGTCAAGGAGGGCACGGAGATTGTGGCTGCGCAGAAGGCGATGGCATCGTAAATCTGAAACGCTGGGGAAGTCGAATGGAGTTGTGTATTCTTTTCTCTTGTCTGGATAAACAAGAAAAGCGATATGTACGCATCATATACTTGGTTGATCGTTTCAAGTCTCCTCATACATATACATTTCTTCACATCACTCATAGTTTGCACAAAGCGGCAAGGGACCCAATTGAACAAGAAGAAAAAATTATAGCAACTTTTCACAACATGAAAACTACGCGTGCCTCAGCGCTCGTTTTAATATGCTGCCATTTGACCCTTTTTTTTAAGTGTAATACAGGGCAAGGGCGGTTGATCATGCAAATAATTCTTTGACCTGGACCTAAGAGCTTAATATTTCCTCCCGTAACCTGGCCTAGCACTTTCATCAAAGCCTCGAAACCGACCTTGCAACACTCCCGTAGAGACGCAAAGAGCAAAAAACCCTTAAAACACCAGTTCCCTTTTTGACAAAGTTTATTTCTTGGCAGTCTCGGCCTCGGCCTTGTCCCGAGCACGCTTCTCGCGGGCACCCTGGTATCTGGCGTTGCTTCGGGCAATGCGAAGCTTGGTGTAGGCACCACCCTCGATAGCGGCGGGGATCTCGCTCTTCTTGATCTCGGTGAAGCCAGCAGAGACGTGGGCGATGGGCAGGGCAGCGGCGATGGAGGCGGCCTTGTCGAGAGAGGCGACGTCGGTCTTGGTGTCACCCTTCTTGGGGGCGTTGGACTTGCGGGGCAGGAGGATGAGGCGCTCCTTGTAGGCCTTGAGGCGGGCAACGTTGGCGGCAAGGCTCTCCTCGCTCAGGTTCTGTCGGCGGAAATCGACGGAGATGCCGATGGTGGGAGCCAGGGACTTGGAGATGCCGGCCTCCTGTAGAACAAATTTGTTAGAACCAACTCCAGCCACTTTAGTTTTTTTTCATTCCCTTAGGTCCAGAGGCCTCTGCAATTGTGATTGCCCTGCCTTTCTCTTTGCTGAGGCCAAAGGGTCGCGAGGAAGAAACTCTTTTGTTTTTCAGTCAAGTCGTACCTTGAGCTCGGTGAGGGTGAAACCTCGACCGGCACGAACCCGTCGGTTGTACTTAACGGTAGGGCATCGGACGACAGGGCGCAGCTTGTCGACGGGACGAGGGGCGAGGGCAGCGGCCTTGGCCTGACGAGCAGTGCGTCTCCGTGTCTTGCGGCCGGGCTATTTCGAAACAAGTCAATAAACAATCCTCCTCTCTGAATATTGATTTTTTTTCTTTTCCGAGTTCGTTGATCGCATACCTGGTCAAAGTGGGTGCGAACCCGTCGCTGCCAATCCTTGCGGAAATCTGTGGGAGGGGTCAGTCGCAATTCATGATGATTCGCATCGTCGACTCGAGGTTTTGACTGGGGAGTGCTCACGGTTGCTGATGATCGTCTGGTTGTGCTTGATCGCCTGGACGGGGGAAAAAAGGTCAGCACTCTTGTGAATTCCAACAATTCAACGTCTTCCATTAGGGATATCTATACATACCATTGTGTCTGCTTGCGATCAACGTGGGCTCCGGTGGTCGTTGTTCGGAAGTCGTTGAAATTTCGGAGGATGAGACTCGTCAAATTCGTCAAAGGGTTTTCGTGCCCTACAATCGATACGTACCTCGTGGGGACATGCCCTGCCGCGCACCAAAAATCAGAATGCGCATCACGTGCTGCGCTCAAGAAATTGTTAGTGCCTCGATGCCTGAAAGCACCACTCTTGGCGCCAGGCATCAACTCAGAGCTACAAAACAACTTCCGTACCGTCGACCTTTTACTTTTTCTGCTTCTTTTTTCTTCTTTCTTCTTTCTTCTGCCTTGCACAACGCGGAGTCGCTCCTTGCTCCATTATCCTTCGGGGCCATGGGAGGCGCAATTTTTGATATATCCAACTCCGTTTTCATTGTGATAGCTGCTATATGCAGCATCATGAAGAAGATGCAATTGTAGACTGCAACGCGAGCCATGTTGTGACGTAGGAATTTTCCAAGTTAAGGCTAGACGTTGCGTACGGCGTACGAATGACAAGAGATGGAGGAGCCTTGACAGCCTATTGTACCATTGTGAGTAGATGATGTCTCGAGCACCGTATGCGCCCATCACCTGCGGATGAAGTTTTCATCTCTGCTGTGGCGATGCGAAAGCCCGTCCGTAAAAGACCTTGAATCAGCTCGTAATTCGCCAACAAAATAGCAGATCCTGTCAAACCAAGAATATCCCAATCAATGTGCCCATGGCGAGCAGTTCAACACCCACGTAGAATAAAATATTCCAGACCACAGCAAAGCAGCTATCCCTAGTGCCGATTGTTGCCATCAATTTTCTTCTCCAAGAAAACAGCCCATTTCTCGACCCCCGGAATAATCCCGCACCAATCACATCCGCCGAATTCCACCCTCTCTTCGTTCTGCGGCTGCACCTACAACAAAAAATCTCACGAAAAACGATCCATCTCCGGGTACAGCCAAAATCTCTCCTCCGAATCAACCTTGGCTCATTGCTCCCCTCGGCCCTAATCAAGGCCAATCTTGACAATTTTTTTTTTTTTTTTTCCCTTCTCCGTCTAAATTCTTTTCTTCAAAAATGGCGTCCAGAATAGGACCTCGGAGCGTCAAGGACGCTACAAGGTTCACTTCCACCATACCCCACGCTACGTCAAAGTCTGCCACCTCTGCGGCTCCAAAGACTTCCAGGATCCCCGGCGAGACGCCCGAGCAGCGAGTGCGGCGGTTGAGGCAGGCGCATCTGGCGGCGCAAAAGGCACAGGTCAGCAAGGCGGACAGAGTCATTGATGCCTCAAGGCGGTTCTTTGATGTGGCGCACAGGTGGACGGTGGGGGGCCTTGTCATGTTTACAGGTACGTTCGATACGAATACAGAGAATTTGGAAGTGGGAGAAGCAGAGGGAGAGGGAGAGAGAACCCGGACGCCATTGCATTGGAAACAAAAACACGGGACTGACGAGTGAGACTCCAGTCGTCGCCGGTGTCGTAAGCGTATACTCAGTCTGGGACATGCTGCGCTACAACCGCGCCCGCCGCGCCGAATGGATCGAGGCCCAACGCAAGTTCGAAGCCGACGAGCTCTCCACCGCCCGCCTGGCCTACCTCAAGGGCGACGCCACCGAGGAGCAAATCGCCCTCGTCGAGGAGGCCAACCGAGAGGCCGAGGAGAAGGGCATCCGCCTGCCCCCCCTGCTATCCCCGCCTGAGCACCGCACACACTTCGAGGAGCACGTCAAGACAGCCTTTGACGCCGGCAAGGCTGCCGAGAGCAAGGGCAAGGGCCTGCTGGGCTTCCTTTGGGGAGGCAGCAGCAGCAGCGATGCGGAGAGCAGTAGCACAAACGGCGCCGCTCAGTCAGTAGGAGACGCCGCAAAGGGTGCGTGGGAAAAGGAAAAACAAAACCAGCAGAATGGAGGCAGCCTGGATCAGCTTGCCCTGGACACCGGAAGCTCCGCGCCGGAGCCCAAGAAGAAGGGGTGGTGGTGAGTTAATGGGCAGCGGTAAATCGGGACAAGAGGGAACAAAAAGAGAAAAAGAAAACCATACATCGTGTTATTTGGGTATTGGGGAGGGCGGCAGCCGTGTATCATACGACATGTGGATGGGCTTGCATTAGATGGAGTCGGGAGTCATTTGTTGTATGTACTATAAGGGGACACACCTCCCAACTTCTATATCATATGCATCTGAATTTGTTGGGCATGTAGGACTAACGAAGAGATGTTTGGGGATTTAAAAATGGAAATGGAAATGGAAATGGAAATGCAGCCCAAAAGAAGACGGCACCCGGTGTTAAAAAATGTACTTTTAATTATTAGTCGGTCAAGTCTTGAATATTGATGAGTCGCTTCTCATAGTGTAGTTCGCCTGCTGTGTACCCATGTTAATCCCCCCGAAAAGCAATATGTATGTAGAGTAGGTATAGACCGCATGGACGAAGCAAATCGCTTATTCAACGAACGCTTCTCTGAGGCTATGCAAGTTGTTGCTGACCCAAACAAGGAGTCTCTTTTCTTCTGTATAAAAAACAATGCAGGTGTGTGTGTATGCGTGATATCAAGAACGAATGCGTCGCAAGCCCAATCCCTCCGTCAAACTCCGATGAAATGCAAGTGCAAAAATCAAATGGTGTGACCCTGGATGTCGCAATCAACCAGCAGTCTTTGGTATTTCCAGAAAACCCCTCCCATCTTTGCACGCAGTGGAAGGGTTATCGGTCTCAGGCCTGAAGCGGGTGACTCCAGCCTCCGTTTCGGCAAGGCCGCCATCTCTGCACGCCCTGGTTTTGGGTGCTTCGTGTATCGTCTGTGGTCGGAAAGTGTGGCCAGCTGTCGTCGTTTCTCTTGCTAATCGAGAGGCCTGACAGCAGAATCCCACAAATCCGGGTCAGATTTGGGGTCGGCCAGTTTTGTCTTCCCCTGCTATGAGATGACGATGTGGTTAAAGTGCCCGGGCACTTTGAGCCTGCACTTTTCACAATCGGCTCGGTACCCGATGCTGAAACTTTTCTTCATCCCTGGCTGCCACGTCCAACTGTCAATCGTATGCTTGCTCCGCATATGGCCTCTCCGGCCAGGGCTGGGCAAAGGAACCTCGCCGTCCAAGTCAACCGCATGCGAATGCGGCGGCGACTCGATGTCCATCATATTATTAGGGTGGTCCATCGCACGGGTTGGCGATGGTGGTAACGCTGCGGTCGCGTCCATGACCACGCCCATGTTGTCATCAATCATCATGCCAGCGTCGCCAATGTCTTGATCTTGTACGCAGTCTTCTACTTCTGAAATTGGCGAAGGCAGTCTTCGGTGATTTTGCACAGCTTGCCAATCCTCCAGGCCCGACATGATACGAGGTACCGACTGGTCGTCCGAGAAGCCAGCGGGATGGTGGCCCAAGTTGATGACCCCGTTGAGCGTCGTCACAACTGGACCAGGACCTGCCCACTCGTTCTGCTGACCACGCACCTGTGCAGCAAAGCTTGGCTGGACTGGCGTGGGCATCCGACCAGATCCCATCACCGTGTTTGATCCTCCGCCACTATAAGGATGAGAGTTTACTGCAGATTGGTGTGGCCAAGAGGCAAAGCTGGGCTGCGAGATGTTATCATCAGAGTCGGAGCTGAGGGGGATAAAAGATGGTGCAGAGTGCCACTGCTGGGACGACTTTGGCGATGTTCGGAGAGGAAGGCATTGGATTCGTTTCTACAGCAATGGTCAGTACACTTGTCCCAGGGTGAAGAGCATCTCTCTTTGGACTTACGCTACGATGCTCCTCGAAGCCCATCGAGATGCTTTCCATTTCTCCGTCGCCATCGCGGCCACGCTTTCGGCTGGATTCCGACACCATGTCCATGTAGTGTTGTGTATGAGACATGGCAATCTGCTTGATCAGGGTACAATGTATAATATGCAAAGAAAACAACGCTTGGGCAGCGGTGTAGATAGCAGTGCAATAGGGGCAGAATGAGATACAAAAATGACAGGCTTGATAGGTGGGTGGCCGCCGCCTTGCCTGCCACAAGATGCACGAAGGGTCCTCTAGTCCTGTCCGGAGTAAAGCGCACCCAGCGATCGTACAGCGGTACAATCGTCCAAAGCTGTGCAATGGCGAGTACCCGACCCAATTGAAGGCTGCGGCTGAAGCAAGATCCTTCTGAAAGCCCTGGCTGAGGCAAGACAGCTCCCAGCTAGCCCTGCCAAAGGTCTAAAGTTGGTGAGGGGAACGCAAGGGAAAAAAAAGCCAAGGTAAGCCGGCGTCAACCTGGGACAACCCTGGATTTTCTGAACCCGGATCTTGGGTAAAACACAGAGGGGAAGAGACGCCAGAGGAGAGGAGAAGTCAGATACGCGCGCCTTACGGTGTCGGTCTGCTGCTGATATACGAGTATGAGACGAGCAAACAGCGATCCGGGAGATGGCTGGGGAAGGACTCGTATCATTCGGTGTGTGCAAGGGGCTGGGCGAGGCGGCACATCTAGGCCGTTTCTGCACAAGAGAAATGCAATAACAGTAGAGGCGCAAGGGGATGATGGATTGGCTTCAGAGAAGAAAAACACGCTCAAGTATCGCAGTGCAAGTCGCAAAGCAACGGGGGGGTTCTTTGTACAATCTCGAAGGGCAGAGAAGAGGTGAAGTCCCTTTTGCTCGGTACAAAAGCCATCGGCAGGCATCGGTGCTGGCCCAAGTACTGCCGACTATCGCTGTAATTGACTGCCTAACCCCACTGCTGCACCCCATTCCGATGCGCGCAGCCGCTCAGTCAGCACTCCAGCTCCACCAAAGGGCTGAAAGCACGAGCCCAAAGGCGGTGTTACTGATGCTTCAAGTGTCTGTTGTTGCAGTAGTCGTACCGCAGATGGAGTGCCACAGCGCTGATGGAGAGTGTGAAAGTTCGATTGCTTGGCACCTGTTTACATTGATGCCATGAACGGTCGTCAACCCTCAACTTTACTCTTTTTCTATCCACAGACCAGTAAAGGGCCATTGTGTACTTGTAGTTTCCATCCCACATTTACGTTAGATGGTCGATGAAAACGAACCATGCTGCATTGGTCAACGCTACTTTACAATGGATGATTCTGCCTCGCAAAGGGGTCTTCAAAGGTGAGTCGAGAACGGCATGCTCAAGCACTGCCAAACTCATGGGGTCTTGATACGCTACCCATGCGCCGTGATAGAAGCGGTGTAGCTGCATGAGCTCCCATGCCCGGGAAGACGCCAAAAGCCCGTTTCGTTTCCTCCCATGTACGGAGTACTAGGTATTCCAAGTGGTTTCTTATCGTAGATGGTAGGTACTACTCCGTACATGTGACATATTAACGTCGTATGAAGCAGCTCTACCGGGTGCCTTGTAGCAGTCCTCAGTGCTAGAAGGGAAAAAAAAATCGAGAAAAACTTGGCAAAAAAAAAGGGTCGAGTTTTCACTCTAGGAATAGGGTTTTCACCACATTAGGGAATGCTCCTCCGGGAAGGCTCGAACTTCCAACCTCCTGATTAACAGTCAGACGCGCTAGCCAATTGCGCCACAGAGGAGTAGATGACTTTCATGCTCCTAAAGAAATTTATAAGGATAGAATCAATATCACTCACCAGAGTTTTTCGCTTGAACTGGCAAATCAAAGGCAAATAATGCTTTCAATGATGAGACTCTACGAAAATTCCTGAATAGAAGTATAGTTCAAGTGAATAAAGGTGGTAATTCGAATTTTATGCCAGGTAGGTCGAGTATGGCGATCTTGAATGAGATTGTTGTTTTGCCTCAAAAAAAAAAAAAGACAGCATGCTCAGCACCAGCTTCTAGAAAAGCTTAGAGAAATCGGGCAGATAGCGAGGTTCAATTTCGCATGAACTGCCTACCCAAGAGTCGGTTCAAAATGAACTACTTTGCCCTTGCACCTACAAAGGTGCTGCTGCTATGCGTCGCTGAACATTCTGTTTTGTGCAGGGTAAGAGATGTCTTGCCCATCGGGGCCTAGCCGTAACTCTTGGGAATACTCCACGTGTAGCTATGAGATGACAATACTACAGAGTAAAACTAGGTACGGAATGCTTCAAGAGGTATGTGCAAGAGGAAAGAATGAAGTGGTGGATTGTATCATGGCCGTCTACGAATATTCCGTGGAATATCAATGCCCAAGAATGGTTGCCTTGGATACAATGTAATGTACTCACCAACCCTTCGGGTTTGCATGCATCCAGGACAAAAAGAGAAGCAAACCAACACCCGCGATTACTACAGGTGCTTATTACTCGTACGAGGTACCAAGGCAATCTCGGCGCAAGGGATACCTGATGCCGTCCAGTCATGTGTTACGCCTTGACCACACCAGCTCAATTCATGCGCTGGACGCTGCGGAGAAGTCCGTATTCCACAAAGAATAAGCGCGGTTCACCACCATGACCGAGATGGTATCGAAAATGGTTAAAAAGATCTCGTCCGAGAGCGGAAGGTGGCAGCTTATACTGCTTGGCTAGCATCAACCACGCACTGAGGGAAGCCAGGTGAAGAGCAAGCATGGAACTGTGGTTAACCTACCTATATAACCATAGAAAAGAACATTAATCTAACATGCTCCGATGATGGTTCTGATAGAATCGCTGTGGCTTGGCCGACTTATTTTGACGTGTGGAGCTGCCAAACTGAAAAACCTTACTCGCAGACTGCCCACGACATGCTGTGGCCAATTGCAAGCCTTCAATTGACCACTCTGGGGGCCAAACCGACGTAACTGTGGCCTTTTTTTCAAAATTTTTTGGAGACTGCTCTGGCAGGTCTGCACGGCGCATCCACACCTCCGAAGCACGGCCGGTCCAAGAAATTTTGCCGGCATCTGGTCTGGTGCTCTCCGAGATGCAAGGGTGATCTGACTCATTGGGGTCGCCGGCATTTATATCTCGAAGCCCTGTTTCTTCTTGCGGGAATACATAAACATATTCTGCAACCAAATCATCTGAAATTGATCTCATTGCTTTGCAATCGTAGTAGTGATACCCCAACCAACATCTTTGCGCCTCTGCGATTTGTTTGGCTTGACCCCCCGCCACCGCAAAACACCCCACCATCATACAAATTCCATTCCTCTTTTTTCCCTTTCTCTTCTCCTTCTCCTTCTCTCCCAAAACACCACACAATATCACAGACAAGATGCCTGGCATTGACGCAGCAGTTATCGCCGATGATACCAGAAGTAAGTATAGATACCTTCATCTAAGATTCTTCTTATGCGCGAGCCTCAGCTAGCCGTGTCGCATCGGTACTCTGGGCTGGTTGACACATGCAATTCCGATGTTGTCGCCGATGGCCGTTTGCGCCATTGCGAAATACTATCCCGCCTGCACTGCTCTACTCTATACACTAGGTGATTGCGCCTGACGAAATGGTACACTAACGACAATCCATAGTCTTGGGTCAGGATCCTTTGATCCCCCCGGCTCTGCTCATCTCCGAGATCCCCATGACTCCCACTGCTCTCGAGACCGTCGTCAAGGGCCGGAGAGAAGCTGCCAATATTGTCATGGGCCAGAACGACAGACTACTAGTCGTCGTCGGACCTTGCTCCATCCACGATCCCGAAGCTGCCCACGAGTACGCTGGCCGTCTCAAGCAGCTGTCCGACAAGCTCTCCGACGATCTCTGCATCGTGATGCGCGCCTACTTGGAGAAGCCTCGCACGACCGTCGGCTGGAAAGGCCTGATCAACGACCCCGATATCGACTCATCCTTCCAGATCAACAAGGGCCTGCGCGTTTCCCGCAAGCTCTTTGTTGACCTGACCTCCAACGGCATGCCCATAGCCACCGAGATGCTCGACACAATCTCTCCCCAGTTCCTTGCGGACTGCATCTCTGTCGGTGCCATTGGTGCGCGAACAACTGAATCCCAGCTTCACCGTGAGCTTGCTTCTGGCCTTTCCTTCCCCGTGGGCTTCAAGAACGGAACGGACGGTAGCCTTGGCGTCGCCATTGATGCAATCGGCGCTGCCGCCGCCAAGCACCACTTCATGGGTGTCACAAAACAGGGCCTTGCTGCTATTACTCGCACCAAGGGCAACGAGCACGGTTTCGTCATCCTGAGAGGCGGAAGCAAGGGCCCCAACTTCGACAAGGAGAGCGTTCAGGCGGCCAAGAAGATGCTGACTGAAAAGGGCCAGAAGCTGGCCATCATGATTGACTGCTCCCACGGTAAGTCTTTGTCTCGTGTAGGCTGACTGGCAAGTATATCGGATTCGCTAACAAGAGAACAGGCAACTCCCAGAAGAACCACAACAACCAGCCCAAGGTTGCACAGACCATTGCTGAACAGCTGCGCGAGGGTGAGCGATCCATTGTTGGCGTCATGATCGAGTCCAACATAAATGAGGGCAACCAGAAGGTTCCCGCCGAGGGCCCCGCTGCCCTCAAGCGCGGTGTCAGCATTACTGACGCATGCATCGACTGGGAGAACACAGTCACGGTTCTTGAGGACCTTGCCTCTGCCGTCCGCGCTCGCCGTGAGATCAACTCGGGTACTCCCAGCACAGAGGCCAAGGTGAGCACCTTGGAGGAGGATTAAATGTTGGATTTATGGGGAGAGTCCGTATGTGTAAGATGAGAGGGGAAAAAGCCTAGAAAGAGAGAGAGAGTTCGTCGGTTGATTTTGAAATTCCACAACCCGCAAGTCTGCGCGCAAGTCGCAACTGGCTTCCTCCTGGCCAGCTCAAGTTTAAAGGAGCCGCATTTAAAAAGACGAAAGATTAAAACTGGCGCATTAAAGGGACATACAAAAGCCATACGTCGTCCTCAGCCATATAAGTGTGGTGTATCCATTTGCTAATGGCATATGACGACCTTCTTTTTTTTTAGAATATGAGCATCGATTCCTAACCTCAATGCGTGTCAAAAAGGCTGCTTGCCTCCCATGGATATACAATAAGGCCCCTTAGTGGTTGTAGATGGTCGCTTTTGAAATCATAATCACCAAACCCTCCCCCATGCTTGTATCGTAAAACTGTCGCTGGTATTCAAAAATTGTATTGCTATCGACTACTGCCCATAGCAGCATAACTCGCGCCCGCCAGTCCAAAGTTGCGCGCCTCCCTCCACTCGAGCACTCTCTTGAACGCCGCCCAGCCCAGCAGCCCCGTCGTCCCAAAGATGAAGCCCCAGACAATGATCTTGTCCTTGTTGCTGTCGCGCTGGAAGCACATGGTGACAACGTCGTCCTCCTCGGCATCCTTGCAGAAACTGATGCCCTGGCTCAGGCAAAACGCCTTTGTGCACTCGGAGCACGATGACGTTGTCGACCGGCGGACGTGGTCTTGGAGAAGAGGGGAGGGCGCTTGGGAGAGGGATCGCGGGCCGGATTGGTGCTGAGGGCCGAGGGGGATGATGGTGCTGTTCTTGAAGCATGTACACTTGCAGAACCTGGGCGCTGCTGGTTTTCACGGTTCCTTGTCAGTTTTCGCGCGGGTTTCTCGCAAGTTCGCCCTTTCAACGGGAGCTTACAAGAGGCGGAGGCTAGCGCAATGAGCGCAGCGAGGAGAAGCACCAGCAGCTGGATTCGCGCCATGGCGGTGCTTGGTTGCAGCAAATCGCACTCGCGGGCTGAGGGCACCGAGAGCGTTTGAGAGAGTTGTCGCGAGTAGATTGTCCTCTGGGGATTACGGCATCTTCGAGACAGCTTTACAAGGCCGAGATGCGCTGCGAGCGAGGCTGGCCGCGGAATTGCGGGTCTTGGCTAGTATCGCGCGCTCTGGTTGGTCTGTCGGCTGCCGTTACTTGTGGCCCCATATCAGGAAAAGTTGCAATTCGGCTTTGAACCTCGTTATCAAAATTCTAAGTCGACGACGCCGGGGAAGATTTCAACCACGGCGTTTCCCTTTACACATTTCGCCAATGGCACGAATAACGAGGATGCGGAGACTGCAGTCTCTGCAATTGGCCATCCCGTCACAATGCGCCGCATCCAGACCTTCTTTCGCCGCTGCCCGCGCCATCTCGACGACCGACCCCGCGCACAGCAAGAATACGGAATGGATCCGGGGGAAGCTCTGGAAGGGCGAGGCTCCTGGTCCGGCTGATCCCTATACGCAGAGGATGGAGCCTGAAGCACAGTCGAATCTGCCCGAGGAGGCGCTTGAGAGCCGGCCACGCCAGGATAGGACGCCAGTCGCTGTGCAAGAGTCTAGGCTGACCCTGCCCGCGAGGAGGACCGAGGCGACGGCGGAGAAGGAGGTGCAGTCGTCAGACCCGTCGTATGTGCCCGCTACGGATGCCGAAGGATTGGAGGAGATTGGGGCGTTGAGCACATGGTGGGAGCAGCCGGGACACTGGGGCGACGAGAGTGTCTTCAAGGGATTCGGCAGCGCGGACAAGGTTGTGGAAAGGGAAGTCCTGGAGGTTCACCTGCGACGAGCCATTGTTGAGGCACTGGCATTGCAGCAGACGGGCGTCTTCTCAGAATGGGCTACGAAGAAGTGGTCTGAGGGGGGATCTAGGAACGAGCTCGACCAGGCATTGGCCGTGCAGGTTGAGGTGCAGGACGGCAAGGCTACTCTGAAGGGAGACGCTTCATCGATTGCGGAGGCTTTGACGAGTGAATCTCAAGAGGCAGAATCATCGACGGCTGTGACGGTCGAAGAGGCAAAGGAGATGATCAAGTCATGGGATCCTTCATGGAAGACTATTGCGCTCGATGACTCCTTACGATTTGCGGTATGCCATTCGCGATTCAAAATCATGGTTTTACGTGGCAATTATACTAACTGTGTGCTACGCAGCTCCGCAAGCGTCTCTATCAACTCACCGGAATCCTCATCCCGGACGCCAAACTCGCCGCCGCCAACACCGCCAAGCACATCCTGACCCTTGCGACCAGAGACCCCAAGCCGCTGAAACTAGCCCAGATGCTCGAGAAGCGCAACGCCTTCCACGATCTGGCCAACGTCACGGTGCACGAGCGCAAGATTGGGCCCATCGACAGGGAGGTTGCCGTGGGACGCTGGAAGGTGATTGAGGAGGAGCTGAAGAAGCGTGACTTGCCGGTGACGGGCTACGGAAACGCGGCGAGGAACAAGGAGAGGGATTGGTTGACTGGGAAGATGTAAAGCTCATGAATTTTTTTTTATACGCATAGATGTGGCTGGAGGGGAGGGGAAAAAAGAATGTACGAATATGGCATGTACAACAGCAATGATGAAAAAAAAAAGAAAGATTCTACGCATTACTATCCTTGCCGGATTCTCTCACAACTCATACGAGTGTTCATTCCCGTACAATGTCCAGCTTGAGTCGGCTTGAGTCAGATGTCATGCAAGTTGTCCAGCTTGGCAAGCCACGGCCCTCCATATTCGACCCCCAGTCGCAAAGCCCGCGATACGTCATGCGAATGGAGGAGATGTAATTTGTCTTGGCACAAGACGACGTGACGACCTTGAATTTCAGGCCGTGAAGATCAAATCACATGGATGTGGGCTGTCTTTTGTCACTTTTAACTTTACTGAGATGAGTTGTGTGTGTGTATGCATGTGTGCGTGTGATGAGATCTAAAACAGATCTGAGGGTTTCTGGGCTCCAGGCAGCGCTGAGAAAGCGGTCTTTAGACTTTTACCAAGCCAACGTCGCAATGGGATCTTTGGTGTTTATGACTGGTTTGATGATACGAGTCGCATTGATTTGTGATTCCTCTTTGTTTCTCGTTGATGATGCACGGAGAATATTGGTATCGAGAATATTTCCAAAATTGGACAACTGGCGGAAAATGCACTTGTGATTGCTGGAATTATTGTTGGCGGCAACAAGGCTCTGGATCTTCGAAATCTTGGCATCTAGACGTTTCTCTGGTAATATACTGGAGTACTTATTAATTCCACGTACCTGAAGAGCACTCCATAGCACCAACAGGCAATGGATGCAGCACACACGAGTACTGCTCGTAGGTACACATGCAGTACAGGCACAAGGGAGTGGATGGATAGATGGAGGGCAGTACCGCATGAGGGATGGTGTGCCAGGGCTCCGAATTGAGTGAATGTTGCGCCTGATCCTACCTTATCGTGGGCTTGTCCTGGTCGGTTGGAGCCCCCCTGCTCGAGGTACAGTAGGCAACCCCGAGGCCATTTAGCAGCCAGACATGCGAGACGCATGAAGAAGATGCTGAGCCGGCAAGAAAGGACATTCGTCAGCTAAAGTCGTCGTCCTTTTGCTAGGTGGTATCGAGAGACGGATACAACGGCGCTACGCCGTCGCACATGCACATGCGCATGCACATGGATGATGCTCTCCGAGTGCATACTCGTACATGTGCCTAGTACATATACCCGTTCGAGTAGCTGTATCAACGTGAATTATTCGGAGCGCGGTGTGTGTGGGAGTATCGCTTGAGAGCGGCAGCAGGTACCTGCTCTTTCGAGTATTCAGTCTGCAGACGACGACACCACACACACACACACACGAAGCATACTCGTAGCTGTGACAAGTCTCGGCAATTTAAGGCCACGTGGGAAGAGTCGCGCCATCGACGGACCAGACAACTGGCAGTGGACACCATTGGCGGCCAGACAATCCATCTTTCGCACAAGGTTTTGTTGCGGGCGCGGGCAGGCATTGATGCCATTTTCCTCGACGGGAGCGATGGATGACAGCAGGGTCAGACTGCCGAGTGAGACGCGGGTAGGGCCGTCTTCTCACCAGCCCCTGCATCTTTTTATACTCGTAGGTTGAGTAAGACGTCGGCCAACTTGAAGAGTACGAGCACTGGTGGTTGTTGTTGCTCGGCGCCAAGCATTCTGCGATACCCATCAGCATCGTCGTGTATGAACATGTAAGTGAAGAGTGTGACCCAGGCCCAGGCGCTGATGCTTCGCATAAACGACGACGGGTATGGTACATGTATGTACCTAGATGCGACCAAGTCCTCATCGTACTTTTCATCATGCAGTCCGCGCAAGCAAGTGATGCTTGTAGGATTTGCCGCGTAATCTCTCCAATGAAAATAAGGCTCCAGGCAAAGTCAAGACGTTCCATTGATGCGGGCTAATGCCCACAATTTGCCCATCGCCCGGCCGGCCCTAGGGGACGATGGAGGCAAGGCTAAAAAGCCGTGGCGATCAGGGCATGGGCAATGCTGGATCCAAAGGTTCTCTCCAGGTTTTTGATATCCATCACTGCCCGGATACGGCTTGCCCAGGAACCAAACCAGGTACGTGTAGTGCCTGGGCGATTATGCGCAATGCCTGCTGAACGCGCAGCAGACTGCATTCGTACCTCGTAACCCGTGCATTGTAATGCTCCCGAGCTCGTCCTCAGCTGCGCGGGCTGGGTTTTGGTACACCGCTCTCGGCCTGTATCGCGTTCCAGCGTGTCTCTCCGGGCTCACCAAACGAGGGCGAGGCAGCCGAACTCGGCCCTTCCGACGTTTGGTCGTCCAACGTCTTCTTCAGCCAAATCACCCCAGCTGCGTGTTGTTGCACGACAAAGCACTAACGGCCGGGGAAGCTAGAGAAGTGGCTCTTGTGGAATCTGCCATGATCTGCCAACATCGTATAGACGAAATTTCTCGTAACCCACACGGAG